ATTTAGAACTTATGTTTCTATATGTAATAAAGTTTCTACTTGAGCATTATTTAATAAAAAAAAAAAAAAAAAAAAAATGTTCAATACTATATAGCATTAAACAGCAAAAAACATCTAATATGTTTTTAGAAGCGCCAATTTGTAAGATTATATAATCAAATATGATTAATTAAGCTTTGTTTAATAATGAAAAAATATATATAACCGATTTTTTTTACATATTAAATGCCCAAATTTTTGATTACATATAAACTTTAAACTCTAATTGCTTTTTAATTTTATAATAAAATTCAAAACCTATTCTAACAAAATTGTAGTTTAAACTAAATTGTGAAACAGATTTTTTTTAAAGCAATTTGTTTGAGTTATATTAAGATTTGCTATTTACTACGTACTACTGGTATTCATTACCAGTATTGCTATATCTCAAAAAACGGGACTAAGAAACAGGGGTTAGGTATACTAAGCAAAAATGTTTAGAAGCTCTAAAAATCGGATCCGTATTATTTCACCGACAATCACTTCATAGACGCCACATTTTACTCACCGACAAGTTCATTTTACCGACATGTTATTTCACCGAAGCTCATTTCACCGACATGTTTTTTTTTTATAAATTGCATTAACTTTAACTCTAATTCTAACCTGACCCTAACAACAATGTCCGTGAAATGAAATGAACTTGTCGGTGAAATGTGGTGTCTATAAAGTGATTGTCTGAGTTGATTGGAACCGTTAAAAACCTTGTATAACCTAAATTTAGGCTATTATATCTAACTCTTGTCTTGGACATAAAATGTATTATAACTCTAAATGTTAACAAAAACATATAACTGGTAATGAATACCACTAGTAATATGTAGTAATTTTCTTTTTATATGTTATATACAGAAAGTGGTTGTTTTTTGCTGTCCAGTACTATATATAAGTACATAATATTTTGAATTCTAACCTAATATTAAACCTAACTTTAAATTTAAATTTTTTTTTAAAAAAACATTTTAGCCATTTCTCAAAATAAGAAAGAGGGCTTACCAATAAAAGAGACTCCAATAGACAATGTAACGCGGATCATATGTGGGGTCTTAATTAAGATCCAAAAAGCTCGAAATACATATCGATATATGTAATTACATAAATTTAGGTCACCTGATTTTGAATTCGATAATTGATAAACTATATACGTACTTGATTTAACCATTGGATTCAGAATTGCGTTTTAGACACATGAAATTATTTGTAAAATACAATGATTAAAAGATAATCTGCTGCTACATTCGGCAACAATTTTCAATACTGGTCGGCGTGAACAATGACAATAACATGTAAGCTTGATTTAATGTGTTCAATATACGCACTTATTGATGTGTGATATAATGCAGCTAAATGTAAACTGTCAATTTCCAAAACATAGTCTATCTGAAGAGTTACAATAATAGCTTTAATCGTTCATTGTCCATTTGTTTTCTTTATCACAATCAACCATCTATAAAGTTCAATATTTATCAGTCGTTGCTGTTGAAAATCTGCGCGTGTTATTTGTTGTCTTATTTACTGATAGCGATGGTGTTATTGATATGGCAACACACACACATGCCACATATACCTAGATTTCATATAAAATGTTGGCCTTTTTCCTCCCTTATCCTGCCTTTGGCTTTTGCGTTGACAGGAAGCCATATATTCAGAAAAAAGTAAAGATAATACATAAGAACACATTGAAAAAGAACAAGGTCTTGGTGCTAGGTGATAATAATAATATGAACACTATCAGACCTCCACAACCGCCAGCAATTCGGGCACGTGATGTAATTGCTGAGATAGGTCCCAGTGGAAGATACGTACGTCTTAAGGCCTTCCACGTTTATAAAATATATTTTCGCATGATCGCAGATACACAAAACATCGTACTTCCTCGTAACGTACTATCCATTATGGCTAGTAAATCATGGTCACAAGAAGGAGAGAATATAAAAGAAATATATCGATTTTTAGCGAATGAGGCCGAAACTCTTTTCAAGTACTTGCAAAAATATTAATTAGTTGATTTTTGTCATTATCTGATATCCTGAAATTCTTTTTTGTCTTTCTTTTTAACATATAATTATAGTGAATCGGTTGCTAAATAAGCTTCACACTTGCCTACCAATATATTTTAAAAGGTATAGTCCTATTTGGCATATCGACGATTTGGTCTCTGTTTCTATAATACAAAATAAAAAGCGATCCATTTAAAGTGCATATGTAAATAAGCTTAGTAGTTAAGCTCTTTCTAACCAAGATAAATAAGAAATAAAAATAAAAAAACAGCTAAGCTATAAAAGAAAGCACTGTTATTGTTTGTTGAAGAGCTTGAATATTTAAGGATCAATTGAGTCTGTCCGATCAGTCGGACAGTGAGCAAGGATGGATACAGAAGTAAATTTTTACGAAAAAGCCTGTATTAACTTACTTTCCACCATAATTAAATGTGTAGATGTTATAATATTCTACATACTTAGCTATGGATCTTAGAGCAAGTTTAAAAAACCTTTTTTATGATAACCCAAAATCTTATGATAATTCTCTGGACACTAAACTTGTCCTCAATTTAAGAATATTGTAAATAAATAAATGAATTGAGCCGTCATTTATTATATTCAAATACAAGAAAATAATATAGAAGTCCAAAAGAAGACATGAATGTCTATTCTAACTTTGTTTTCCCTGGTCGACGAAATTTTCCATGTGATAAGATTTACATTCCCAATAATCACCTTTCGTGTCATTGTTTGTTTACATTACAAACCCGTTGGCCAGTATTTTCATGCAGAATGATCTCAATTTGCTTCTCCAGAAATGTTCTTTTTGATTTAAGTTTTTTTTTTATCGACGGTTTTTTTTTTATCTTTTTTTTTTAGAAAGGATTTACCTCAGTATTCTAAATTCTTTTTACGCCATTTGCTAAATTCTCACGACTGTATGTACTACTTAAGTACATCCGTACTTACGTATTTTTCCGGTCAAAACACAGATTCGTTTTTCGCTTAATGTTAAATTGTTGAAATCCAAAATAAAATGTTTCCATTATACCAATACTTTTGGCCCTTTAATATTTTAAGTTGTTGAACCAATCTGAATTCTAATTACTATAAGTATTTTAAAGATTTTTTTTTTTAAAAAAAAAAATGGTTAAAGAGATATTGCCAAAGATAATCAAGGTTTGAGGAACACGATAATGCACTTCATTAACTGACCAATTAGATTATGATCATATTGGCATAAATAATTGCTAGAAAAGGGTAATTAGAAATTTCCTCTACGTAGAATGAACTCGTACATGATGTTCCCCCAAATTTCCGTACTGAACCTTGATAAGTTAGACTAGCATTAATAAAATTTAATACCAAGAACAGAGTTTTACGGAAATTTATTGCATTGATTCCACCTACCATTAGTGGTCTGGGCGTTTCCCGAATAAGTATCTTCCTAAGCATCTGCGAATATTCTTCCGTTATAACTTTGTGTGTTTAGTACGTACTATTTCATCGCACAGTAACAAACTCAGAAACATTCCTCGGCTATCATTCCCACTCTTCTTCACTATCCATTTATAATTATAATATATTTGTTTACCAACATAATTATCCGATTTTCTAATTGCTCACATTCTTCTCGAAGTGTACAAGTTCTATGCGGAGTGTTGGCGGTAGCTTAATGATTAATACTGAATCATTGAAAGAGTGTAGAATCAAACGATTTTCTAGTTGTCGTGATCGATATAACATTACTTAGATGTTAAGTGCTTTTAAAGGGATGTCCAATGAAACCCTATAATATTTGGTGAATTTATCGAAATAAATTATTTGCTTTGAAACATTAAAATGTTTAATAAATTGTTGATTCTAAGTTTTTATAATCAAATAAATAAATTGCGTACATTATACGATCAAATATATATATCAAAGACAAAAAGTCCATCAGATAAAACAGTCAGATATCTTGTATCACTGTTTATATCTTCATAAGACGACACTTCATGATTAAAACCCAGATGCAAACCTCGGGTATATAGGCAATGCCAACGATGCATATGGAGTTACTGTAAGAGAGAAAGAAAAAAAAATTGCGATAAAGTTTCAAATTGAAATTTCTATATGATCAGAGTAGATAAGTGTTGCCTTTAACCTTGCAACATTCAATATTAAGAAGTGAGTTCTTTTACTGATTAACGCGAAAAAAAACCAGAAAAAGATATATTTTTTTAGAATGCAGGCTTGTGTAGTGATTCTTTTAACAAGGTTCAAGAATCATTATGAGGTTTGATCACGAATATATTTTTTTAATACACCAACCATTCATCGATTAACGTTCACGTTCGAATTCAGAAGCAAAGTTTTGTTCTTATAAGTTTCTTTATATGTCGTATTTTCGCGTAATTACGCCAATGTGTGATACTTCTAAAATCATATTACCTAAAAATAACATAGATGGCTTTGAAATGACACTCATACGCGTTCCGAATAACGTGCATCTTTGGATAGATGAAAATTAACCAATCACATAAATATCTTATGTCGGACGGACGATCAACTTGTATCCAAAATAACGCGCATACGCGTACTCGAAATAACGCGATTGGCGTTATTACGCGAAATATGGTACGTATATGGTATATTAAATGATCCCTATTGTCTACGATATAGCGACTATATTTCATACTCTAATAGATAAATCCCCGAGCTTGTGAAATTCATTTTGTTCTTAAAACCTCATTATAGCACTTAATCAATGTTACGACAGGTCACCATCAATGCATAATTTAGTTTCAGCCTTAACTTAATAATGTATATATTGGTACTCAAGAGCGTTCGTTCTAGGGACAATACATTGTATCAATTTTGTCAGGCAATAATACGTTCAAAACTCTCTGATTGGCTCTTCTCTTTCTGTCTCTATTAAAAATCAAAGCATGTCATAAATATATTTTATAGATCCTAAGACTTTAGCGTTGTCCCAATTAAAATAAACTCCAACCTATTGTAATCATTAACGTTAACCGAATACATATACTCTAAACCGGGGATCTGTGAATTTAGTAATTTGTTGTGATCTTAAAGAACATATACATATAGACTTTTAAATAAATATCTCTTAGAATATAAGTTTTACCAAGCAAAAGGACGAGCCTTCTGGAAAGCCGACAAGCTTCTGTTCAAACAAAATTGAAGTCAGATATGTCATGAAAATGTGTCTCATTATACATTAATAAAACTCTGCAAATTTGATAAATCTACAATCTTTATTGAAAGTCTACTAAAGATTAATGCTCATATTGATGACAAAGTGTTGGCTCTATCTGTTGTATCCTGAAGAAACACTAAAAGATATTCGCAAAATATTTACTGAAGAAGATAAATAAAAAATATTTATTAATGGTGAGGAGATAATAGAAAACACATCAGCAAATATTCTTTTAAGAAAAATTTTTGTCAACGGTAATGAGCTATTACTATAAGTTTTCACTATCCGAAAATATGCAGTTGTTATTATTATTTACAATGATCACACTAAGGTTCTTGTCGACCTTCCAAAGGAGGGAACACAAGCATTTCTAATTTATGAAACCGATTTAATGCTAGAAGAAATTTTATCAATTGATGATGATGATGTCTTAAATTTTCATCAAGAGCATGGGCATAAACTATTAATAGCCTAACTAATAAGTGTGAACATGGATTCACTATTAAAACAATTCAGAAATACAGGTTAACTATTGCATATTTACAACCACAATTTTGAGATATATATAAAAATTTATTGGAATGTAAAAAAACGAAGTTTAAGGATCATGTAAACAAAATGTTATTACATTTGGTCTATTTTTCTGAAAACCAATTATGGTTCTTCATATAAAAAATAATATATTCATATATAAAGTTGAGAAATTGATTACTAGGTTTTAAAGAGCAGATTTTTTGTAACTAATAAATTCGTTGTTGATACTGAGTGCGTTAAATAGGAGGAAAAAATAAGAAAATCATAGAAAAGAATTAGATGCAGCAGATAAAGTTGAATTATAAGTAATTAGAACAAACGTGGATCTCAATTTGAAAACAAGGCAAAATGTAGAATCCATTTACATTATAGAAGGAAGTGATATATTTTATAATTGTGATACTTGGATCAATTCACTTAAAGATAACAGGAAGTAGAAAATAATTGAATACCATAGCATTTATTTAAGATTTGCAAATAAGAGAAAGAATTGATAAAAGCATCATTCGAACAAAAGTTGTTAAATATTGCTACTAACATACCTTGAACAAATCAGATAATTAACTGTTCAAAAAAGAGCAACTCATCCATAAAATAGGTATTAAATATTTACTATGGTTATGAAAAAAAAGGAATGGGTATATCATATAACAGTTCTCTTGACGAACCAATAATTATTATTAATCATGTTCCAAGTAAGAAAAAGCCTAGAACAGGAAATATAACTGTCTATAATGAATAATTATGTTGTCCCGGACAGTTGTGAACATGGTTTAGGCATTTTTGGACAAATAAATAAATCAAAATTACTCAAAATTTTATTAACTTTCTAAATAAAAATATTCAGCACTATAAAAAATATATAATCATATATTTTTTCAATTAATATATTAATTTTTGAAGCTTGTATATGTTGTGGACATTCTTGGATATGTCGACGTTTGGACATTGAACATGGTCTAAAAAGTCTTGAACATAGTAAACATGATAACACTGGTTATAAGATACCAATAGATACTTTTGATTTTGAACTCAAACCAAGTTGTGATTGAAAGTAAAAAATGCGCATTGAATAAGCAGTAAAAAATGACATACCTCAATTCATAATATGATTGACTTTGGCTTATTATGTCAAGCTTTAATTAAAAGTACATTATGTAAAAAACGTTCGAATTAAGACAAAAAAGTTGCAATCAAAACGTTGATCCTAATAAATATTCTTACTATTTTAAATATATTTGTTCAGTGTTAAATAACGCTTATGAGAAATAAATCCAGTTGG